GTTAAAATGAAAATTACTTTGCATAATAGATAGGCTAAGATGTGAAAAGAAAAAAAGCCATGAGAGAAACATTACAAACCTTAAGACTTAATAATAATAATAATAATAATAAAAAATTTTGTGTATGAAAACATTGTAACGTTTACTGATAATCTGCCAAATTTTGTTAACATTCGCTCACTAATTTAAAAGTTATAGCATGAAAACTATAACAAGCACAAAATGGGTTGAAAGAGTTAAGACTAGTCATTAAAAAAATAATAATATATACACACAGCAACATCCAATTTGTTAATTATATTATGAAATGGCCAATCATGCCAGCTTGTTGGAAGAGAAACTAAAGTGACTGTTGTTGAATGCTCTGAATCAAATGTTAGACATCAGCACATCAGTTTCTATGGGAATGGCTAAAAATAAAGGTGAACGTGAACAGTTCTTTCCAGCCATATCAATAAATATCTTTGAGGGTGTCACACTGGCACATGTATGAACACACATGCAGCTTCTAAAATCAGTGTTGGTTAGGTAGCCCCCGAACCCCCAGCAAGCATTTCAGAAGACCCCCTGCTTCTAAAGAGTCGCATGTCTTAGTTGCACTGTGCATTAAAGAAAAATAATAATATAAATAATATTTGTATATTTTAACATTATTACTGGAGTGAATTTCTTTTGTCAATTTTATCAAAGGTGTCCTATTTGTTGTTTAATTACATTTTTAATATGACTGGGAATATTTGCTGTCAACTTTTCCAGACATAAATGTTCATCATATTGCATAAAAAAAAAATAATTTTGATTTTTACAGTGTTAAAAAAAGGTTAGTAAACACTAAAAAAAATGTTTTAGCTTTTGATATTTTTTTCCTCCCCCAATAGGCCTTGTATGCATCAAAGATTGTGTCATATGCCCAAGGTTTTATGCTTCTCAGAGAAGCAGCAAAAGTATTTGATTGGAACTTAAACTACGGAGGGATTGCTCTGATGTGGCGAGGAGGTTGTATAATTCGTAGGTGAGGGCAAAATAACTTCTGAAATCAGTTTGAATTAATTTTGTCAATGTTGTAGTTTGTGGAACATAGCTTTGTGTGTTATATGTTTTTCCTCTTCAGAAGTTCTTAACTGTAAAATATGACGGTGTTATTACATAGATGCGTGAACTAGTTTGACATTTACATGTGTATCATAACTCATCTATTAACAAGATCAGCATGGTACTCTAGAATTCTGTATGTAATTTATTGTTCAATTTATTACTCGCAGTGTTCCTATTTGACCAGTACGGCTTCTCCAGAATATAATCTTTTCAAGGGTATTTAAGGGATATTAAAACAAACACACACTTGTCTGTATAAGTATGTTTATTCCAAGAAAAGGAACTAGTCACTAGGCTGTTCCACCTAAACCTATGATTGCATATGGTACTTGAAAAGGTATTATAAGATAAATGTAATTTAGTATTACACCATCTCTGATCCACTCTATATATACAAGTCTCTTAAAAATACAAAACTCCCTGAATAAATACTGGTTCTAGCAGATGATATACTGTTGGTTCAAGATCGATACAGCAAGTCTTACTTTAATGATGTCTAATTGAGTAACTTTTACAAAATAAAATTTGGAAATGAACGTTTCAGTTACTTCTAAAACCCTGGCTGAAAGATTTGATTATTATTATTTTTTTGCTTTCTTAAGCCTTTCAATAACTTCCCAGTGCTCAAATTATCATTAAGAAGACAATTTCACTTTTGTACAGACTTGAATACTACTTAAATTTGCAATACACAAAAATTGTACTGTCATCTTATAACTCAAACTAAAAACAATAAATTTCAAACTAACATATTTCAAATGCCAGCCCTTTTTTTGGTAAAAAAAAATGGGGATTTCTTTTAATTAGTAAATGCAAATTAATGTTATGTGTCCGATCTGTGAAGAAAATAACTTAAGCAGTTTTTGTGATGGGAACTTTTTATTGTGTTATTGCTGGTAAGCCTAATTTTTTGTTTTCAGTGTGTTTTTAGGAAACATTAAAACTGCTTTTGACAAAAATCCCAAACTCTCAAACCTACTACTGGATGAGTTTTTTCGAGATGCTATCCAAGACTGTCAGGAGTCCTGGCGTCATGTCATTGCCACTGCTGTCAACTTGGGTATACCTACTCCGGCATTTAGTACGGCCCTGGCTTTTTACGATGGCTTTCGTTCGGAGAGATTACCAGCAAATCTTATTCAGGTAAGAAATATTTAGCTTGGTAGTTTGAGTACAAAAAAATGTAACTGTTTGAAGATATGGATATAAACATAAATTTCTGAAAATGTACCTCCTATGAAAGGATTTTAAAGAAATATTGAGGCTTGTATATATTTTTTATGCAGTACAATCAACTACTAATAACAAAGCAAAACTACAGACATTTTAGTCTGTAAATCCTTTTTTTTTGCCTAACGTGGATTTCCATTCAGTGGTATATTTACAAATATTTTGTATTCTCTGTGCAGGAGATTTTTTAATCAGTACCAGGATGTATCAGCTGGTCTGGATCATGACAACTGTTTACCACAGTACTATTTCATAATGTATGCAATATAAAGTATTGAATATTAAGTTGGCATAGAATAATCTGAAATGTTACGGTTTTCATCAATCTAAGATTACAAATACTATCTTTAGAGCAGTCTGGTTATGTAACATTTTGAGTTGAACCATTAATTTGTATAGAAATGGATTTTTCAAATTAATTCCAAATTTTATGTTTAAAAAAAAAAAAAAAAAAGGCAAACTGAACCTTGTATGTTTTTGTCCTAAAACATTAACTTCTTGTTTCTTGAGAATATATAACTTGTTAAAACAAGTTTAACAGAAATTTTTAACATTTTTCTTTCATTTCTGTGACCACTAAACAATGTGATAAACCCAAATCTTGTTTCCAGGCACAAAGAGATTACTTCGGTGCACACACTTATGAACTTTTATCAGAACCAGGAAAGTTTATCCACACCAATTGGACGGGGCATGGAGGAAATGTCTCATCGACTACATACAATGCTTGAGTCTTGAGTTACAGTTAAGCGGAAAAGTTAAAAAAATTTGAGGAACAAAACTAAAAGATTAAGTTCTGAGTTTTATTAGTTTTTAACAAATGGAACATCATATTTAATATGCTATTCAGGTTTATAGTCTAAAATATAGAAGTTATCTTGTTGTAAATTAATCATTTTGTTATTAGATTGCAAAGTTTAAGTTGTTTGTGTAAAGGGTTGTAATGTATCCATCATGTCCTGTAAAAGTTGAAATGAAAATCTGTTTTTTCACAACTTTATTTTCATATATTGGATATCGCACTACACCACACTTGATAAAATTTGACACTTAGAAAAGATTGGCACATTTTCTTTAACACTTATAATAGGTAATTGTTATCAAATGTAGTAACAAAAAATTATTAATCTTTAAATACTTTAATAATAGGGTTTTTGTATCAGTTTTACTTAATTCTTTAGGCACAAATTGTACATTTTCTCCAAACAATTGTTATGGTGAGAATACTTTTTCTAAGCAGGCAGAGCATGTTCGTCATAAGATATTATTAGTACGAGGCTTAATTATATGTTTAAACACTACATTCCTTATCGAGGATTTTCAAGAATTAGAGTGTATAATAATAATAATATTTCAACCACGCTGTATTTTTAATATCCATTAACAAAGGCATTCAGAGTATAAATAGGGTTCTGACCATGGCTGTGTTTTTTATATCCCAGTTGGCCTAAAGTGCTCTGAATTGAATGAAACTCATCACCAGCAATGGATATAAAGTGTTATTGTACACCCTTCTAATTCTTTAAAATCCTTAAGGGACTAGAATAAGAATAGTGTGTTTAAAAATATAATAAGACTAATACTAATTTCGTATGACAAGAATAATTATAAATGTCTACACAGTTGTTGAAGAATAGACTTAATACTGTTTTCATTCTTGTGAATTCGTGGACTTAAAAAATCACTTTAGTTTTTTCTAAAAGCACAAACTGAAATGTTTTAATTAATTTATTATACTATTGTTAGAAAATATAATGTTAACAGTGTGCTCAAACTTATTTGGTTTCAAAACCACAATTTTCTGTTGAACCCTTAACAATTTTTTAATTGCCTGTGAATGTAAACTAGAGTGAGAACAATGGGTTGCGTGTGGTTTAAACTAAAATAACAGAACTTTGATATGATGGATATCTTGTGCTGCTCTCGGTAGATAGTTTTTACACCATACATTACACAGTATTTACAATTAACTGTTAAATACATCAACTACATGGTATTAATGTATTTGTTTTCCAGGCTCTTGTAAGTACAGAAAAAAAAAAAGATGCAAGTTAAAGCAACCTTTATCTTCAGTCAATTTAAGAAAGAGTCAAGATGGTGAATTTTTGTTGTCGGCTGAAAAATAATATTTTATCTGAAGATACTGTTTACTTTGGCCACGTTTTTGGATATAAAAATTTCTAAATCATTAACACACACACACACACAGAGCAACATTAAATCCATTCAACTAATACTAATGCAATGGCTGCTATTAACATCTGTTTACAAGCATAATACTTACTGTAATGTCTACAACTATAACGCATCATCTTAAGTCATGATACTAAAATACTACATTCTACAACAATCGGAACGATGACTGGAATTCCATAAATTGTTTAACACAACAAATAGATTTGTTCTAAAAACTAACTGTAGAGAAGTTCTAATTACACGACACGTGTATCTTACGTAACCAACTTACAAAACAAGATATAGCTTTTAATAGTTTTTGTATTAACTTATCGTTACATAGTCTATTGTTGTGCCACAAAATACCGTTCAATAAGTTAAGACAGAAGGTACCAAAATAATGTTTTAAAGCTTTTCGTTACATGTGATGTATACTTAAAGTAGCCGCCAACACTTGTAATGTAAGGGCTAAACGGTGTGCTGTGGAAAGTGCTGATTGTCAGTATAAAAACAATACGAAATGTATACAATTTTGGATAACTAACAGATAATTCAAAATAAACGATTAACACTGCTTGTTGGCTAAACGTGTGGCTTAGGAGTTTTCTTAATATTTTAGTGCTTGTTAAGCACAAAAGGCTATCTAGGCTGTGCCCCCTTGAGTGGTGAAAGCCCTCAGACGTACTGCTGAGCCACTGGCAGGCAATATTTTAGTGCTAAACCTGGCTCTTTGTTTTTGTTATATTTAAACTTGAGATATGTATTTTATAACTATTTACAAGAATTTTGTATTTTCAACCTAACTGGTCAGTCAGATAACCAAAGATTCATCCTCAGTTTAGAATTTCCAACCAAATGGCATAGTGCAGCTTGAACCTTGGATCTTCCAGTTGACATCCAGATCACTTAGGAGAATGAAGTTTTTACACATACAAGAAAATAATATATAATTTCATTGTATAAAAACTAAACCCTTTGTAGTCATATTTGAGCTAGGACACCCTTACGTCTTCAGCTCTTACACACATACATATGTAAGTGCGTATGCGACATATGCGAGTTATTCTTTACTCTCTACCTACCTTATGATGACACAATATATCTTCACAAAAATAAGAGGAGAAAGAAGATCCTTTTATAACAATTTGTAAACAAACTCTCTTTGAAGAGGATTCAAGAAAATGAATTATGTATTATATACAAGATAGTAGAATTGTTGGTTTGGCTTGATAAGTTCATTTCATTTTTTTTCCTCTTAGCGGAAACAATAACAAAACTAACAGTTTGAAATATTGGAAAAAATTCAACTCTTCAAGCATGTTAAATTTACCTTGCTGGTCTATGTTAATCTCTGAATCTGTTCTGTGTCGCACAAATATTAAGTAGATGCCACCGATTCTGGAAAGCAACACATGTAATTAAGAAGATAAAATAAATACTTCCATCATATTTGATTTTAAACCTTCTTATCCAGAATATGTAAAAACAGATTATTTCGGACTCGTTGGATTTCGTGTTATGGTCGTATGGAGAAAGATGCATGGGGTTTTGATCTGTCGAGGGTACAGTGCTGGTGGTTGGAAAGATGAGATCAAAACAGCTGTAAAGAGATGCCGTTAACAATATTGACAGTTGTCAACATGGTAGTCTGAACAGGGAGAATGTTTAGTAAAGCTATCACTTGTCACTGGTAAAACAGACAAACTCTGTCTAGATGGTTAACAATTCCGCCACCTTTATACTGCAGTAATAGGATAAACTGAAAGGTGCGAGGGAAAATAAGAAAGAAAATAATCAGTCGCTCCAAAGGCTTTCTTTCAACGTGGTAATCACATACCGTGTCTGGAGAGACTGTTATCACCAAAGTTATCTGGCTTCAAGCTAAGACAAGTTACGAGAAGACAGAGTTACTCCACTTGCAGTCTGTGTGCGAGTACAGATGGCAACAGTGAGGGTGAAGTGACTGTTTAGTAATCGTGGCCAAGATGCAGCCCATCAAAAATTCTATAATCCTAAAAAAATTAAAGATGTCGCATGATTTTGAAAGGCTCTCTAAAACTCTGAAACAAAGCACTAGCCAACCAACTTTCTTAAGAAGAAGATCCCTGTTAATTACACGAGACATTACAAATACTCTTCAAAATTAGTGAAAAAAGACAGTAAATGAAACAATCGGAAGCCTCGATATTGGAGAAATGAGTTTGGAACCATTTGTTTGCCCTCTTCAAAACTTAGTAATTAATTTTGATTTACCTTACCGACTGACCACTTTTTTTTTTTTTTTTTTTTTTTTTTTTTATATAAGTCCACGTATGTATTTGTAGAATACTACTTACATATTCAAATTAAACCGATCATGTGATTTGTCAGCAATGATGTTTACCATCCTTAGGTGAGAATAAGAATTGTTGCACGTCGTTGATATATTTTATGAGCAACTTTTAAAACATCATCACTTAGCCCTCATTATTTTAAGTATGGTTCTGTTACCTGTACGAGGTAGTTTGCAACCATAGATTTTTGCTTACCTGTATACAGTTTGATAACAAAACCATGGAACGATGGCAGCATTTCGATGTTTCGAGGAGAGGCCATGAGGTCCAACCAACTGGTAAACTTGAAGAACACATACGACTAAACCTAAAACTGCAGCCAGAACCATCTTCCTCAACAGTTTTTCTATGTTGCTTCTTTTGTTGGGTTTCAACTTGTGGGCATCGAATTGGAAGTCGTCACTGCATCTCGTGGTGAAAACAAAAGTCTCAATAATTGAGGACTAGGGGGTTGAAAATAGTCACACAAACACAAAATGACCATAAGATCAAACATGTAAACTTTAAAATATTAGTCACGTTGTATTCGTTTATCCACAAGCCCCCTATCACAATTTTGGAGCTAGCAGCACCAAACTTGGCTTGCAAGCTGGATGTCCTAATTGGTTTTTGTTTTCGGGTACATACCCCTCTTGGGGGTAATAGATGAACTTAATCAGTACAGTGGGGCCCCTATGAATCATATGGGGGGGGGCTTTAAATCCCTTAGTGGAAGGCGGGTATTTTGTGCTAATATATATATAAATTGCAATACTGGATTATACACTTAAAAAAACAAACTAATGTCTAGAATGAAGTAAGTACATTATAGAGATTTGGAAACATTTCACGCAAATTTCATTTTATAACCTAGTTTCAGATAAGCTATCTAATAGATGTTGAGTCCTTTTAGTGTGTGTTCACAAACACAAACATATATATATATATATATTTGAATTCAAATTTATACTTTTATTTCTCTCTCTATATAATA